GGAGAGAGAGAGAAAAAGAAAGAGAGAGAGAGAGAGAGAGAGAGAGAGAGAGAGAGAGAGAAAGATACAGAAACAATGCGTAGCAATCAGCTGATCGCGTCAGGCACCGCACGTAATCGCCCGCGTCTGACGGTGAGTTGCGCCGCCCCTGCCTACCTCTTGCATATAGTATATATAAAGAATAAAGAATGCTAAGTATCAAATTATACAGGGTGTCCGACAATTAGTGTAAGATCTCTCGTAGGCAGGTAGGAGTAAAACTGAGTCGAAAAGTCCTGAACCATTTTTTTCTATTATATATAATAAAGGAGTAATTATTGAATAAATCAAGTCAATCAGCACCGACCATTAGCCGGACGCACGTGAGCCACGCGGAGCGCTCACGCACACCAAGTGCGTAGTTGGCTTAATTTATTCAATAATTACTCCTTTATTATATGTAATAGAAAAAAATGATTCAGAACTTTTCGCGACTCAGTTTTACTCCTTCTAACTACCTACGAGATGCTAAAGTAATTGTCAAACACCCTGTATATCGTAAAATAAATACATTACCTGGCAAGCCATTATAGGCGAAAGACTGTCCATTTCATCAACTAGTACAAGATTTCGAAGAGGTCGCGGAGCAAAGAAAAATGTATCGCCTTCCTCCAGGGGCATCGCCGAACTGAATTCGGGCTCGTCATCGTCATCGCCGAGATGCGCTATCTGATATAGATAACTGCAAAAAAATAAACGTTGTATTCTCTGTCTTTTCATGTTTTGTTATTCATAGCATGATGTACTAACTGGTTGCCAAATTCCGAAGCCACAAACAGAAATCCAGTTTTCAACACACACATGCTAGCCGCTACAGGAACCGTATCGAAATACTTGAGCTTAATTTCAGTGACCATATCCTCGTCCGTCTCGAGGGTAATCTTAAAGATGTCACCTTGCTCAGTTTGCGCAAGGAAGAAGAACATGCTTTTTGTCTTATGTGTGGCCGAACATACAAATATCATTCCTCTCTCCGGATCGTCCAAGTCATTACGTCGACGTGGTATTGGGCATCGAATATCATGTTGATCACCCAAATTCTTGTAAGTAAGGTAATTTTCAGAACAGATAAGCACGCCACTAGGACCATCATTTCCACCAGGAACCGAAACAAGAAAGTTTGCGTGCTCCTCCAGCGGTTCACTATACTTTCGTACTACATGATTAAGACCAAGATCAAGTTCATATAGTGTTAAGGTTTGTTGCGTTTTTACTGCTGCGTCGCCTGTGGGATCACTGTCAGCTTCCTAAATTAACATTTTTGCGAAAGTTATTAAGTATGTTTACTTTAAAAATGTAATATTGCAAACAAAGTAAAAGTGCCATCATAGAATGCGTTCGCTTTGGACGCTTATAAAATATTAAGCGTCAATTCGTCTTTATTATTCTTTAAATATAGAACAAAGATAGATTGGTGCTCAAAGCATGTAAGAACCCAAAGCGAATGCACTTATAGAGATAAGTTTGTAATCATAACCCATTGAAACAGAAATGTAATGTGATATTTAAAATTGCATAATAAAATGACAAAATGAAATTGTATAAAGTTTACCTCGTAATCAATTTCTAGACATGCAAACATGGGATTTTCAAAGCCTACATCAACACCAACTGTGTGATAAACCAAAGTATTACTCTTATGAGCTTCTAATGGAGAGGAAACTGTTAGACGAGCTTCAGCATCTCTGTTCAAAATGTACACAAGTTTTTGCTTCTCAATAGCACCTAAGGAACAAATTAGCTAATATGTTATTGCATATTTAGATATAATTGCATATCGTGCAGCTCCAGGGGAAGTATTTCTCAGAAATTTCTTCTTTAGCTGCTCCTATTACTGCGCGCTCTTCTCCTTCGATCTCGGACTGTTGGCGGAGACCAAAAAAGAACGGGGCGCGATAGTATAGAGCATACAAAGAAATTCCCGAAAAATATTTTCCCTAGAGCCACACGATATGGTGCTCCTTACTGTACAAACATACATACATATATACATACATACATACATACATACATACATACATACATACATACATACATACATACATATATATATCTATCTTTATGCATATTCAATATCAAAAAACTTGTAAAAATCTATATACAATACCTATCATAACAGCTCTTCCTTTTGGATCAATGGCAAGATATTGGCCAGGAACAATACGTCTACAACCACTTTTACCAAAAGTTTCTTGGTGAACCTTCTCAAAGATATTTTTAACAGGAATATATTCCAAAATTACTATACGACCAGAATCTGATCCAATAACCATATAATCTTTTGTACTGCCAGTTAATCTAAATGCCATAAGAGATCTAATGATTCCAAACACTTCAACAGTCAGCAAAGTATGAACCTTTCCTGTATTGGGATCCGGTCGCAGTAACTCCAGGGATTTGCCACGTGACACTAATATCTCTTGCATCTTGCTGCCGGAGAAATTGCCATGCACCGCATGCGTGATGCCAGTCGCACGTTGAAGAGTCAGATTGTATAAATACATTTTGGCGATTTTTTTCCTCTTTTCGTCGATTCAATAAATCTAATAATCTTACGTTCTCGATGGAGATGTTCGAGCGTCCATGTTACATACGACAAATCTATAGGAACATTCGATACGTCGCGTCCGCCGACAGCTTTGTTTGCAACAAAAATAACTGAAATAAACTATCGCTAAGCAGAAAACTAATGGCAGACTCGAGAGCGAGCAAGCACCGTAAATGATATTTCACTTCCCGTTTGGCCGTTCAACGAAACAAAAGTGGGCGATGTTATCAGATTTCTTCGCTGGTAAACATTAATGAAACTTACCACCAGTGTGACCAGATCTGGCCCGCTTTTTCGCGCATGTGCGATGGCTGCGACGCGGCGAACGCAGCGACGTGCTTCAGTGGTCTAGTTTCCACCGAAACTCTCAATTCGGTTTCACTCCGGTACGGATTAAATTTAGTGTTCCGTTTCCATTGGAAGTAGAGTACTTATAGATCAAAGCGAAAGCGAAATCAGCGCAATTTGACAGGTTTCCATCGATTTAAATTTGATTCTACGTCGCATTAGGTGTGAATTAATGCTTCGGTGGAAACTAGATCAGTTTAACACAAGCCCGTTCTACATTGGGTGCGTTCAGACAACTCAACAGTTGCACAACGGTTGAGAGATAATCACTTCTGATTGGATCATACTTTTGGAACCACAGCAGATTTTGAAGAGATAATCCTATCATAAGCAGAGGGTCGTAACTCACTCTTGCTAAAAAGAGGGGACTAGTTTCAGCGCCACCTACCCGTGTACCGTCAAAAATAGCGAACTAATGGGATATATATATAGCTATACATAGCTATATATATCTCGCACAATACCATACACATTTCTACTTCTTAATAATTAGTAATTGCAGAATAAATAGACATGTTTAATTTTAAGTCCATTTTTATTATATTTTGAAATCTACAATATTAGATATATAAATTATTACTATTAGTATTATAGGTATATATATTAGATATATAATTATTACTTATTTATAAAACAATTAATTTAATATTTCATACAATTATGTAAAATTAAAAAATTAACAAATTTATTATACATGAAAAATACAATGCAACTCATTTTTCCGTCTCACTTAGGCTGTGTTCAGTTAAGCAAGATGGAACGAACTAATGCAGGAAATGAAGGAAATACAGGAATTGGAACTAATGAAACTAATGAAAGAAGTGAAAATAGTGAAAAAAAAGAAGGTTGGCTCCCCTGATCTGTTGCGGAACATATGTAGTGGCAAAATTGGAACCGAAACAATTCTTTAAGTTTCCATTCCGAA